ATGAAGTTTGGAGGCAGAACAAAATTCACTCTACCAGTGTCTCTCTCTCTCTCTCTCTCTGAATCCTCTTTCTATAAAGGACACCAGTCATATTGGAGTAGGGTGGGCTTTACTCTAATATGACCTCATCTTAATTAATTATATCTGCAATGACCCTATTTCAAATAAGGACCCATTCTGAGACATGGGGAGTCAGGACTTGAATATATACATCTGGAGGTGTGGGGTTAGCACCTGGATTCTTGGCCATTACTGAGCCACCAGATGGGCTAAAAAGCTCACCACTCCTGTAAATCTGCATTTCTGTAAGTGTCCTCATTGTTCAGTTATTTTGAGTTGACGTTTCCTGTTACTTGAACCAAGAGCATCCTTAAATGATACGATGCATTATCAGCTCCAGGGGATGGAAGATCTGTGAGATCCAGTGTTATGTTCAGTTTATCTCTGTATCTAGCTCAAGGCCCAGTAGTCAGCACATGTTTGTTGAATGAGTCAGTGGAGGATGTAGATCAGTATCTAACATCCCTACCAGTCAGGGATAAGTGAGGGTGGATTAGTTGAGGAGACTGTATCAAGGGCAGGAGTTAAGAATGACTTCGTGGTTTTTGGTTGAGCAATTGGAAAATGGTGGTCCCATTCACTCAGGTGGGGAGGAGCAGTAAAGGAAAGGAATTCAGGAGCAGAGGTACAGGCTGATGGGTCCCATTCCACAGTGGTTTAATAAGGGATCTGTGCCCCAACTCTAGCCAGTAGGATATAAAGAGAAGTTTGCTAGAAGGTTCCAGGAAAGTTCCTTTAAGCACCAAGAGATCTATGAGAAGCCAAGATTATTCTCTCCAGCCGTGCATGAGTAGAAAATCCTGTGGCCAAAACTGCTGCCAGTAGTCAGCCTACAATTGTGAGTGGATGCCCTCTTAGGATGACGTCAAAACCATGGAAAGCAGAGTGAATTTTGGAGGCACCTGGATTCTTGGCCATTACTGAACCACCAGATCAGCCATTCTTGAAGCTCACCACTCCTGTAAATTTGCATTTCTGTAAGTGTCCTCATTGTTCAGTTATTTTGAGTTGAGGTTTCCTGTTACTCGTAGCCAAGAGCACCATAAATGAGACGATGCATTATCAGTTCCAGGGGATGGAAGATCTTTGAGATCAGGGTTATGTTCAGTTTATCTCTGTGTTTGGTTCAGGGCCCAGTAGTCGGCACATGTTTGTTGAATGAGTCAGTGGGTGATGTAGATCAGTACCTTGTGCATCCAGATCTGGAAACTTCATCAATAGAAATAGCTGTAGCTGTTGACAATCTATTCTATTCTTACTCCATGCCATGAGTAAGATAGTTGTGAAGCCAGAAAGAAAGAGAAAACAGAAGATAAATACCTCACAGGCAGAAGGTATCTCCCCTCCTCACCTTGTTTCCTGCCATCAGACCATTTGCTTATGTCTGAAACCTGGGAGTCTTCTGTGTTCTTCTTTCACTTTCTGCTATACCCTCTATTCTCAAACCTTGAGCCAATCATCACTCAGAAGTCCAGCCTGTTCTACTCTCAAAATCCACCTTAAATCCATCCGCTTCCCATCCATTTCCACTGCTTAGTGAAGGCCTCCGTGATCTTTGGACTGCTGCAGTGCCCTTACAGTGTGCCCGGCTTCCTCTCTAGCTCCCCTGTCACCCGCTTGCCAGAGGAATCCTCTGAAAATGCCAACCAGGCCACGTCCTCCCCCTGCCAAAAACCCTCCAATGCTTTCCCACTTCATCTAGAGTAGAATCCAAGTAAAAACCAGGCTCACTTCCACGACCTATTAGGCCCACATGACCTGCCCTTTCTTGCCCTCCAACTTCATCCAGCTCGCTCCTTCCCTTTCAGGTCCTTTTTCTCACCTGTTGGCCCCCTTGCAATTCCATGGCCACCCAAGCTCTCTTCTGTCATGCTGTCTTGGCATGATTCTCCCTCTACCTGCAACACTTTCCTGCCATCTTTCTTTTCTGTTTTAATTGGGAGCATGTATTATGCATACTAAAGAGTATACAAAATACACACCTATGCACCATGTCTGTGCGCGTGTGTACACACACACACATGTTAAAGACTGAGTATAAATCTAACACCCATGTCACCACAATCCAGGTTAAGTATAGAAGGTCCAGGGAGCCTGCAGCAGGAGGAATGGCTTGAGCCCAGGAGCTTGAGACCAGCCTTGGGAAACCTGGCAAGACCTCATTTGTACAGGGAACAAAACAAAAAACAATTCATCCAGGCATGGTGGCACATACCTGTAGTCATCCAAGCTACTTGGAAGACTGAAGTACGAGGACCTCCTGACCCCAGGAGATCAAGTCTGCAGTGAGCTGTGATCACACCATTGCAGTCCAGCCTGAAAAAAAAGAAGAAAAAGAAGGTCCTATCAAATGCCCCTCCCCAATTATTTCTTCTATCATCTCCTGAGATGGCCCCTGACCTGATATTTGAAATAATTATTTCTTTGTAGTTTTACCATCTATATATAATCCTCCAAAAGTCTTTTAATTTGGCATACTTCTGGGTTTTACATGTGGAATCAGACTGTGTATGTTCTTTTGTTTTTAGCTTCTTTTTTTGGTCAGTGTTATTCTTGCGAGGTTTTACCACATGTGCTTGCACAGAGCTATATTCACTCACGTTTGCAGCTATAGTATTTCACATGATGACGATTCTGCCATTTGTTTATCCCTACTACTGACCATGGGCATCCAGGTTGTTTCTCATCTGGGGCTATTATGTGCAATGCTGCCATAGACATGTGAGTAGATATATCCTAGGGCTCCCCGGAAAGAGTTTTTCAGGGGGGATTTCCAGAAGTGGATTTGCTGGGTTGTAGGTTATGGGCATCTTCCATTTGACTAGAAGATGCCAAAGCTGTTTTCCAAGATGGCTGTACAAGTTAAACTCCCACCAGCAGAGTACACACTGCTTGTCACTCCTCAGTCTTACCGGACCTTTTAATTTTTAGCCTGTATGGGGATTTGTGTGAGCTCCACTCAAGTACTGGCCACTACTTCAGGCTCTCATTGGACCCTCACAACAGCCCTGAGAGGTGAATGTCATCATTCCCATTTTGTAGATAAGAAAACCAAGGTCCAGCTGATTTGGATCATTACCAAGTTGCTGTGCTGGGATTTGAGCCCAGGTCTGAGGTCTCTGCAGTGTCACATACTGGCTTAGCTAAGGTTTGTGGGCTCACGTTGAGTAGAAACAGGGAAATTAGGGCAATACAGTAAATTTTCATGTTACTCTTTTATCAGATCACAAACTCTTAGAGTCCACATGCAAGAGTAGTAAAGTCTTATGGGAGTCTTATGATGGATTTTTAACTTCCCATGAAAAAATAAAGGCTGTATCTAAAATATCAAAGGGTCTATATGTCACACAATCATAATTCCAAAAGCCATTATGGATAATAAAGGATGTAAAGCCTTCAGATATTTCCCCAGTTAGTAGAGTGTCTGCAGATTTTGTTCTATATATTTTTCCATTTTTATTTGTATCTTCTGGTTTGCAGACTTTGAATAATTTACAGTTTCCCTTCCTTGTTAAAAACCAGCCCTTCAAGCTGAAATGCTAATTATATTGGCATTACATTGGATTATGTATAAGATCATAAAATTTGGTTATTTAAAATTAAGAAGTTAAATCCAGTGGTTTTGTTCAAAGATTTTGCTTAGTATTCAGTTTTTATAACTGTTAAAAAAAATTATCGAAGTTTAACCACATGCTGGTGCCCGGGATAACAGTGTTGTAATTGGAAATGGCTTTACTCTGAAAATTAGGTTCGTGGGTTGGTGTAAATTATGTATTTTTGCTTATGTACTTTTGTTTTAAGTCTTACCCCAAAGTTTATTATTAATTTTCAATACAGCGATTTTTAAAATGTTAAAAAAAAAAAAAAACCTGTCCAAAACACACTGAATCAGAATTGGCAGTGATGGGGACCCAGTGAACGTGAAGTTGTATTTCCTTGTGGTCTCATTTCTCTGTTGACTAATGATGTCAGGCATTCTGTCATTAACATACCGGTCATTTGTATTTTCCTTGGAGTCTGTTCAACTTTTCGATCATTTTAAATTGTATTGTTTGCCTCCTTATTGACATATTAGAGTTCTTTGTGTATTGTGGATATGATTTCTTTGTAGTTGTATGTGTTGGGAATATGTTGTCTCAGTCTATGGCTTGTCCTTTCATTTCTGATGGTGTCTTTGGAAGAGCAGAAGATGTAAATCTTGATTATATTCAAAGGAACATTTTTTTTTCTTTTATGGTTCATTTTCTTGTGTGTCTTGCATCTTTGCCTATTCTAAGGTACCTCTTTCGTTAGGTATGTGCCTTTTTTTTTTTTTCTTGAGAGACAGGGTCAAGCTGGAGTGCAATGGTGGGATCTCAGCTCACTGCAACCTCTGCCTCCTGGGTTCAAGGGATTCTCATGCCTCAGCCTCCCAAGTAGCTGGGATTACAGGCGCGTGCCACCACACCTGGCTAATTTTAGTAGAAACAGGGTTTTACCATCTTGGCCAGGGTAGTCTTGAACTCCTGGCCTCAAGTGAACCACTTGTCTCAGCTTCCCAGAGTGCTGGGATTACAAGCGTGAGCCACTGTACCGGGCGGATATGTGCCCTTTAACACACCTCCAAGGCAATGCTGTGGTGCACTAGAATCAGAGAAGCCCAGCTATGAAGGCCATCATAAGCTTGGGGTCAGATCTGAGTCCAGCTCCCAGGTTAAGCACTTACCGAGCAAGTCACTTTGTCTCCCCAAGCGTCAGTTTTCCTATCTGCAAAATGAGATAAAAAAGGGACCAGTCTCACAATTTGTTAGAAGAGTCCAGTGAGATAAAGCTCAAACCGAAGTTAGCAAAGTGCCATGCATGAAAATGCTCTATAAAAGCTATTTTGTTTTATACACTGGTTTGCTTCAAGCAGCAGGATGGAACAGAAAGAAATAACATGGTTTGTTGTTTATTTTCAGTACATCAAGGCCTTTTACAATGAGTCATGGCAAAGAAGGCATGAACATCCAATAGACCCGGACACTCTGACTCTGCTCTGGTCTGTGACTGTATCCATATTCGCCATCGGTGGACTTGTGGGGACGTTAATGGTGAAGATGATTGGAAAGGTTCTTGGGAGGTCAGTAGGGAGCTGTCTTTGTCTGGGGGTATCTTCCACATTCATAATATATCTGTGTCATGGTCAGGGTCCTGGCAGGCAACAGAACTCCACTCAGACAGTTCAACTGGAGAGATTTGAATGCCCAAAGGGGAAAGGGGAAGAAATTGGAGACCAGGGCCCAAAGATAACTGAAACCCTGGACTGCGGGCTGATGGGCAGCAGCAGAAGCATGGAGGGACTGGGCTGTGTCAGAGCCATGGCACCCAAATGGGGGAGGAGCAGGGAAGAAATGCCCTGGCCCCTCCCTCCTCCCACCCTCCAGCCTGCTGCAGAGGTGCACACTGGTCACATCCATGTGAAAGCCAGTGAACCAGGAAGGCATGTTGCCATCTAGGAGGTGCTCCCGGGGCACAGAGCAGAGCAGGGAGGGGAGGGGACTTGATCTGGGTGTCGGGGAAAATAGAGGACACAGTGCAGTGCCTTGGAAATTGTTCCACATAAGTACATACCGATCCGCTTTTCCAGAAAATCAGCTGTTTAGACAGTCTTCCATTATATGGCTGTCTCATCATTTAGCCACTCCCTGGCTGATAGATGTTTAGGCCATTTCAGCACATTTACATTACCGTCAAGGAAGCAGTCAGAATCAAAAACTTCCTATCAGCCTTTCCTACCCAGGCCCTCTCCAATCAGCTCCGCTTGACCTTGTGAGCCTCACTGCTCACTTGTTTAAGACAGGAATCCTTCTCTCACAGCAGGTTGACTTATCGATAAATCCCCACAAACAACACTTTCTCTGTATTCTTGTCCATAACAACAGATCCTTGAGCCAGTGAGCTGTGGGTGGAAAGAGCAGAGGTTCTCCAAGTGATGGAGGAGTTATCATGTCAATCTGGTGGGGCCAGAACATTCATGTCTGAACTTGAATCATGTATCTTCCGCTTACTAGCAGTGTGGCCTTGGCCAAATCGTTTAATTTATTTGAGCCTCAGTTTTTTTTTATCTGTAAAATGGGGATGATAGTTTTTACCTGCAGGAAATGTTACAAGGTTAGAACAAAGGAATGGAAGAAGAATGGCCATGAGTTGTAGTTGAATAAATAGAAACTCTTGTTATTGACCACATTAGTTGGCATTACCCTCATCATCATTTTCATATCACTACCTAGTAAGTACTTGACAAACCTTCACATTGCATTGACGTGAGTTGAAGAGGAGATTCATCAGACCCCAGAAAATATCCTCAGACCCTGGGACTACAGAAACCCTATTAAGAAGGAGCCCACCCGTTCCTTTACATTCTTCCTCATAGTCCAACAGGGAGAAAACTAGAGTTGATGTTTCAAAGCAGGCTTTCCAAAAGTTGGGACAGGAAGCCACCCTGCGAACATCCAGTGGTGCTTATGAGGGTCTATGATACCCATGAGGCAGGGGAGGCGCTGACATTTTCCTTGTCCCCAAGTCCACTTTCAGAGCAGTAACTAATGGGAATACAGTGCCAGGAAGTACGACAATTGCATGATGTAGTGAGAGGTGCCGTTTTCTAAGGTCCTTCAAGGTTCCAGGCACTCACACATTCTCTTGTTTAATTTTCTGTCCTCTGTGGGTCAGTAGATGGGGAATGGGGGGTCAGAGAGGGGAGGGCATCTGCACAAGCTTAGCTGGCCCACGCTGTGCCTGAGCTTAGGCTGGAATCATGATCTTTCCACTATGCCAAGCGGATCTTAGTTAGGGGCCAATTCCCAGTGCTGGGAATGTACTGCAAAACCATGACTGTTTGACAACAGGCAAGTGACTGGCTGGCACCCAGACTGGCATCACTGGTCAGGGTCCTTGAGGCATGGTCACGAAGCCTCCGGTTCAAGCCAGACCTTGTCCATGGTCCTCTTGCTTGTCCTAGTTGAATGGATTCACTACCCCCGCCCCAGGATCTGGCCTGTGACGTCTCCTTACTTTATACCCGGCCATGGCACTTATACCCCAAGGCTGCTTCTTAAGAAGGCTCTGAACCCAAGCAGGTGGAATAGAAAAAGAAATACTGGAATCAGGCCAGAATGCTGTGGCTCAGCAAGTCCTGACTCTGCTGTGTATCAGATATGTCACAAGGGACTTTGCTACCTCACATTTCAGCCAGCATTATTCTCACATATAAAATGAGGACAACCAAAGTAGCGTTACTACCCTTACTCGGGTAGAAGAACAAAAAAGGAAAAGAAAAGCAAAAGAGAAAACGTCCTTGAAAATATCTTCAATCTCTAAAGTAATGGAGGAGTCGTCAAGAAGTGAGGATGCAGAAAAAGATCAAATCAGAAGGTGTTGGTTGCTATGCCCCAAGTAGTTGCCAGTTTCCTTTTCATCATTATGAGAGTAAAAGTTGAATTGGGCTGAAGTTTCAGCTTGAAGAGTAACTCTGCTGGGGAGAAAAGGAGCAAAAATAGAAAATGAAAGCTATCATCTATGCACCTCCTGCTAGACACCAGTCCTTTTCAGCCAATATATCATTTACTTCTTAAAACTCCATGTTTGCATCATTGCCTGTGCTTTCAAATGATGAGTCCAAGACCAGGGGCCAATTGGACCAAGGTTACAAAATGAAGTTGAAGTTCAGATCCGCGTGTGTTTGACCACAGGCCAACACTCTTCCTGTGACGTGACGCTATTTGAAACGCCTTCCTGATGCTCTGTTATTCCTCTCTCATGGGGATTGTCAGGGAGGGAAGGACGCTGCAGTGGCAGCCCCGGAGGCCCAGTGGAAAGTGCTCAAAGGTGTAGCTGGGGGAGACATTCCTGGGGCAGCGGGGAAGCGTTCCGGTGGGGCTGGTCATTGGCGGCTGCAGCAGTGGGGCTGTCCCTAGCTAGGGCATGTCAAGCTCATCTGTGACTTGGGTAACAAAGGAGGGATGGGGAAGCAAAAGGGACCAGGAATAGTCTCTGGAGATGGGCCATACCACGTGACCTAGGCCTCACACAGATGCGGGTTCCTCACCTCTTGGAGTCTCTGGCTAAGGGAATTCTGAGCCATCAAGAATTCCGGTTGAATCTCAGTGCCCTCTTGGCATCCTGTGTCCTCTGCTTGCATGACCAAAGTAACAGGACCCTCCTTCTTCCCTCATGAGACAGGACAGCAACTATGTTTGGTACACAAACACTAGCTACAGGCCCAGCTTCAAGTCTGGGCTCTGATGCACACAGCTCATGGGGCTCCACAGGCATTTCTTAAACTCTTTGACCTTCACTTAATTTACGATTATGTGAAGATAAAGAATGGCCATGTCAGAGGGTTGTTGTGAAGATTAAATGAGATGGTGGATGGAAAGTGTTCATTCTAGTAATTGACCCAGATTCATCGCCCAGCCTTTGTTCACTAGGGTCATCACCATCAGCAGCAGCAGCAGCATCACCATCACCAACCTCATTGGCTTCTTTTGAGATGGGTCATTTCATCACTTCACAGAGCCAATTGTGCATCTGTTCCTTCAACTACACTGAAATGGTTCTCCCTACACATATCATTGGATGTAGTTCTTCCCTCTGGAGCAAAGCAGAAAAAACATGAAAGAAGTCATACAGAAACACATATGGGCTTTGAAATCGGATTCTGGGCCAGACTCTTGGACAAGCCCCATAACCGTATTCATCTATGCAAACAAACATTTTTGAGCACCTACGAGGAGTAAGGTACTGTTTTTGGCACTGGGGCTTCAGTGAACAAGAAAGACACAACATCTGTGGCCTAAGTTGACACTTGGGCAAGGGAGGCAGCCCCTGAGCAATTCATCATGCAAGTGTTTATGATTCCGAGCAGTGCCGTGAATGGATAGTAGAGATACAGGAGGCAGCTGCTATGCTCTTTAATTTTTTAATCTGTAAAGTGTAGATAAACAAATCCACCTGAGGGAGCAGCTATGAGGGTTAAATGAGATCAAATTTATAGTCTCTCATATCACTCAGGAGACTTTTTGAATGCCTATGACGGGAACCCAAACCAAACTGGCTAAAGCCCAAAAGGGAATTAATTGGCGCACCATAATTAAAATATAACTTGGTTGAATCCAGTGGCTCTGACGATAGCTTTTAAAAAATCCAAGTCTGCCTCTTTCTCCACCTCTCAGCCCATCTTGCTTTGTGTTGGCTTCATTGTCAGGCAGTCTCTCCCATGGAGGTGCATGATGGCCCCAGCTTGGTGGAAATTCTCCTTCCAATAGTTGTAATGGAAGTCCCAGGCATGAATCTCCTTGACCTGAGCCAGGCTGCAGGCATTCAAGGGTTCTCAACCAGGGGGCAGTGTTGCCCTATCAGGGGACATTTGACAGTGCCAAGAGATATTTCTGGTTGTCATAACTCAAAGGTGCTACTAGCATCCAGGAGACGCCAGAGATGCCTCTAAAAATCCTACAGTGTGAAGGACAGCACCCACAACAAAGAATGTTCCAGCTACAAATGTGAAAAGTGCCAAGGTTAGAAAATCCTGGCAAATAACATTCTAATGCTCTGGAGTAAGTGCTTTAAAAAAGCACATCCTAAGTGCCTTGAGAATGACCAGTGATTATAATGTTGACCGGCCAGGCCTGTATCATGTCCCCACTCCTGAAGCCATGATGGGGTGAGACAGGCAGGAGGTTTCTTGGTGGAAATCTGAGGAACTCCTCCCAGAAGAAGGATGAAGGTTGAGCAGGCACCGACAACAGGCATCCCATTCATCACTCTAGGGAAATAGTAGGTTTCAGAAGGTCTGTTTTTCACCTCATCTTTTTCTACTTCAACTCTTTAAAAGGCATCTTGATTTTATAGTAGTAGAAAATAACTGTGGCTCTCTGGGTGCCTGCCGGAGGAGCCTGCAGTGCACAAGGCAATTGTGCATTGGTTAGCCCAGGCTGCCATATCAGAACACCACAGAGGGAGTCGCTTCAACAATAGACATTCCTTTTCTCACAGTTCTGGAGGCTGGAAGGCCAAGATCCAAGTGTCGGCAGGGTTTTCCTCCCGAGGCCTCTCTCCTTGACTTGCAGATGGCTGCTT